GACAGTCACAGCTACGCGGTGGGGTCAGTGTCTGCTGATTCTCCAGAGGATTGTCCGAAGGACTTTACGTGTGCATAATTCCCTGGGCCGGGAGCTGTCCTGGGGCAGGGGGGGGGGAATGACCAGCCCAGGAACCCCTGGCTCTGCTCCGATGCTCAGGGCTGGCTGTTTGAACAAAGCGAAGTTACACGCGCTGCCTCTGCCCCTCGGGAGCTCTGCTCACTGGGGGCTGACCACCGTCAGCGAGCCAATGTTTCGGAGGCAGCCGATCCTGTCCAAAGCAGTTTCGGGTTATCATTTGTTTTGCTGTAACATGCAGGCTGGCTTTTACCACTTCCAGCCCCAATGAATGGGTTTCACTTTTCTGGAGGGTGGTATGGTGTAAAGCAGGGGTCCTCAAACTTTTTAAACAGGGGGCCAGTTCACTGTCCCTCAGACGGTTGGAGGGCTGGACTATAGTTAAAAAAAAAAACTATGAACAAATTCCTATGCACACTGCACATATCTTATTTTGAAGTAAAAAAACAAAACGGGAACAAATACAATATTTGTATTTGCATGTGGCCCGCGGGCCGTAGTTTGAGGACCCCTGGTGTAACGGTTAGGAGTGTGGAATCTGTTTGACTCTTGGCTTTGACCTCGGGCAAGTCACTTAACATCTTGGCATCAGTTTTTTCTTCTGTGAAATGGGCATAGTGATAGCAGAGAACTGCCGTGAGGAATCCACCAGACGATGCTTCTAAAGGGCTGAGCACCAAGTAAGTGCCTCAGAAACCTTAGCTGATATTATTTTTCTTTAAAAGCAAACCACTTTGGGCCCTAGCTGGTTTGGCTCAGTGGATAGAGTGTCGGCCTGCAGACCGAAGGGTCCCAGGTTCTATTCTGGTCAAGCTTCTCCCCGGCCCAGGCCCTGGTCAGGGCGTGTGCAGGAGGCAAGCGATGGATGTGTTTCTCTCACATCCATATTTCTCTCTGTCTTTCCCTCTCTTCCACTCTAAGAAAACCGTGGAAAAATATCCTCGAGTGAGGGTTAAAAAAAAAGCAAACCACTTTGTTAATGTGGCAATACTATCCTGGGTCAGGCTCTCATGCCTGTATCTCCGCTCTGACATGAAGGGTTCTCCCTATTTTTGTAATGTTAATGCCAAGTTAAAACGAATGATAGAAACCAACAAAAACAACCTAATGAAACATTGGTTATATAAATAAATGTAAAAAACTTCTTTTAAAAACCTAAGCAATTTATTTGTTTGCAAATGGTTACTTTGAAATAAGACATCACCTGATACAACATGTACTGTACAATATACATATTGTTATATCATATTGAGACATTGGGCATCTGCTTATTTTTATTGGGGAATTTTCACCCTGTTATAAACTCTACAGCAATGTGTTTGGCAGGAGCCTTTTGTGTGAGAACATTCCAGCAGCTCCAGCATGAGGAAGGCCCAGTGTGTTGAAGGCAGTGCTCCCAGAGTGAGGAAGCTGGTGGCTTTGAGCCCAGGGGCCCTTTGCAGGCTCTGTGCTTGGCGGGTGGGTGGCTTGAATGCTCACAATCACCTCTGTTTTAGGCAGTGGTTCTCAATCTTCTGGCCCTTTAAATACAGTTCCTCATGTTGTGACCCAACCATAAAATTATTTTCATTGCTACTTCATAACTGTAATGTTGCTACTGTTATGAATCGTCATGTAAATATCTGATATGCAGGATGGTCTTAGGCGACCCCTGTGAAAGGGTCGTTCGACCGCCAAAGGGGTTACGACCCACAGGTTGAGAACCGCTGGTTTTAGGAGAAGTGACATTCTCCTCCCATCTGCACGCTGTGTACAGCTGTGATGGCCTGACACTCCGGGCTGACAGCACCGGATGGCTGTGTCCTTTCCCAGTTTGGTTTAGCTCAACACGTGGATGAGCCCCCGCCGTGTGTGGGGCACCGTGTGATGGGGCAGCCACAGAGGTGGCCGAGACTAAAATGCCTTCATTCAGAGGGGTTGCTGATCTAAGGGTAGAGACCAGGTTTCTTTGATTTTTAAAGCAAGTCTTTACTATTAAAATGCCTTTATTATTGCTGGTTATTTTTTTACAGTTTCAAATTCTTTTTTTTTTAAGATACCTTGGGAATTATGATAAGTGAAATAAGTCAGACAGAGAAAGACAAATACTGTATGATTTCACTTATACGTGGAATCTAAAAAACAAGATAAGTGAACAAACAGAACAGAAACAAACTCATAGATATAGAGAACAAGCAAATTGGGGGTGGGGGACTGGGTAAAGAGGGGAAGGGATTAAGAAGTACAAATTGGTAATTACAAAATAGTGCAGCATCGGGAATAGTTAATAATATTGTAATAACTATATGGTATTGGGGGGGGACTAAACTTAACCGGGGATCACTTTGTAAGCTACATAAAGGTTGAAACACTATGCTGTACACCTGAAACCAATATAATATTGGTTATACAATATAATATTGGTTCAACTGTAATTGAAGAAACTTTTAAAATTAGATGTCTTGGGAAGAATCTTGCTTTAGTATGTGTTTCCTAAACATGGCTAAACACTCCACTGAAACGTACACACACACACACACACACACACACACACACACACACACACACCTGGGCTAATCTCAGACCCACTGAGTTGGAAGCTTGGAAGGGCCTGGAATCTGTATGGGATAAGCTCCCTGGGCCCTGCTGCTGGTTAGCTGGGTGGGAGGCCTCCCCACAGGAGCCTCTAGAGGGGCTGAGCTTGTCACCCTTGGCAAGAGGAAATAGCAGCCTTGGGGGCTGGGGGTGGGGGTGGAGGTGGGGGTGGGGGGTAAGGGGGTGGGGTGGGGAGGGTGGCGATGTTCCCTGTGCATATCTCGGCCTCCTCCAAAGCCCCAGCACTGCCTTTTCCTCTCCTATTTTGTGAGACTAGAATCAATGCCTCCTCATCGCCCTAAGACAACCCCTTTCCAGCCCCCGCTAGGATGCTGCTTCCCTGTCCCTCCCACAAGCACCATCTTTCCACCCAACTGGGCCCTGTTGTTGGAGGGAGGCTGCAGCTGGCCAGAGGCACTAATCCCCTCACCAATCCCCTCACCCACAATAAAGCCGCAGCAGCTGCTGGGGCGCTGCTGTTTAGCCCAGAGGAAATAGTGAGGCTTGGAGCCAAGCGGTCTGGGCTTGCAGGAGGCAAAGTCTGAGCTTTATTTCCCAGATTTTCAGGTGTGGAGTGAGCGTGAGGTTCAGTGTCCCATGAGGCTCTGGGCAAACTGGGCAGAGCTTCCTAAGGTCCAGAGACACTGGCTCGACGGGACTATTACCAGGGATATTTCTGTTCTCCTTGGTCTTCCAACTACAGGGAACTGTATGGCATGAACATCAAAGGGCACCATTCACACTGTAGTCTAAGTGAACGGTGTCCCCAGAATTGTGCAGTGCATAGCTTGCCTGCTGTACACGGTGGCCCAGCCACTTCTTCCTCTCTCAGGCTGGGTTTGCAGTGAGCCTCCCTGGCCACCAGGATTGCCTCCATAACCTTAGCTCATTTGCCCTCCACCATCACTCTGTGGGGGTGGGGGACAAGATTATGACTCCACAGAGGCCCAGAGAGGCCAAGTGAATTGTCCCTGGTCACCCCCAGAGCCAGAGCAGGGTGAGGCTAGAGTCTAAGTGCTGCCTTGGAGCTGCAGGAGAGCGGTGGTCAGAGCCCTGCGCCCCCCAGCGACTGCCGGCTGCTCAGCCCGAGTCTGCAGAGTTGAAGCCACTTACTTTGGAGAGCTGGGGCCACGGTCTTGGAGAATCTGAAGTTGGAGTTGACTCTCGAACACATCCCTGTGGTGTAGTAGGAGCTCCCACACTCGTGAGACCAGAGGGGGCTGCAGGCCTGGAAGCATAGCACAGACCCCCAGTCACTGGGGGCCTTCAGGGTGGGTCCAGGCTCAACAGCTTTCAGCCTAGTCCTAAGCTCCATGACCCAACACGGAACTCCTTTCCCGTGTTGGTATTCCCAGGCTCTAGAGGGTCTTCTTCGAGTTTACCTGAACTCTGCTGCCAGTTCCCTTGGTTTCAGGTGGAATAGAGAAAAACGCATCTTAGAGTCCTCTTTCTCCTATTTGCAAGGATCTCCATCCCACCATCTAGGGTTGTTCCTCTTCTACCTGCTCACCCACCTACCACACAGGATCTGGGAAAGTCTTTTCATTTGTGGGAATGGACTGTCTGTCTGAACAGGTCACCTGGAGGTCCTTACTGGGCCAACTTCCAGGGCTCCGTCCTGAGAACATGCCCGTGGTTCTTACTAGGGGAGGAAAACAGAACGTCTCTGCTCTTTCTCTGAAATTTGCTACCAAAAACATTGTTCTCTACGCCTCATTTAAAGACTGGGTGATGAGTTCCTCTCAGAGTCAGACATCAAAAATGAAAGCCCAGCTCCACGTCTCGATTTTTCTCCTGCTGCTGGGAAACCCGGGCTAAAGTTTGTGCTGTGATATCCTTTGGTTTGGGGGAATACTTATTCTCCTTCCAATCCCTTCATTTAATTAGCTTTCTATTTTTACTCAGATTTTAAAGACTTGGTTTTATTGGTATCCTTTGTTGAAACTGCTATAAGTTATTTTTGGAAGTAGGGGGAGAACAAAGAATGGGAGGGTGAATGATGGATGATGAATGGATGGATGGATGGATGGGTGGATGATAGAAGATGCATGATGGATGATGGATGATGGATGATGCATGACGGATGATATATGAAGGATGATGGATGGCTCGATAGATGGATGATGGATGATGGATGACAGATGATATATGAAGGATGATGGATGGATGTAGGAAGGGATGGATGAAAGGATGGAGGATGAGGGGGTGGATACATCTACAGATGGATGAGTGGATGAATGAATGAATGGATGGATGGATAGATAAATGGAGAGATGGACGATTGGTTGGGAACGGACTGATGAGTGGAAGGATGAATAGATGACTTAATGAGTTAACAGAAGTTGCTATTTATATACCAGGGACTTAGCCTACGCACAGAGGCCCCAGAGGGTATCAATGAGCATCTCAGGACTTGCACCAGCAGAGCCACTACGCTCTCCTCAAGTCCCTGAGCCTCCCAGTCATCTTGTTGCTCTAGTGTCTGGTGCTCCCTACCCCAGACGTCTCATCTGTCAACAGAAATGAACTGATGGACAAGAGCAAAGAGTGACACAAGCCCTCCCATCTTACAACGAGTGATGCATTTTATTGGGCTTTCTAGGGTAATTTTTTCCTAAAATCCTCTTTTGCAGAGTTTCTAGAAATAAGTCCCAGAGGATCCTGTTTTGAACCCCTAGCTTCACCCAAAGTCTTGGTGATTCACTGGAATGTGGTGGCCAGGAGCAGGCGGTTCCCCTCTCTCATGCCACCTGCATGCAAAGCCTGTGTCTGCTCACCCGGGCAGGTGCAGAGACCTCCACGCATGACCCGCTGCTGCCTTTCTGTCCCAGCATCCTGTTTACATCACTCATTTGCTTACTGTTGTTCCCTCAAACCAGAATGTAAACTGCAGGGGGCAGGAGCTCTGCTGACTGCTGAGTCCCAGTGCCTGGCGTTGGCTCAGTGAATTCAGAGTGCTCAAAATAATGGTTCAAATGAATGAATGTCTTTATCACCTCAGCCCAAGTACCCTCGCCTCTTTCTTCATTGCTAAGGCCTGTTTATTCTTTAAAAAAACCCACAGAAACCTCCCCTGGGAAGCCTTCCCTCTAGTCCTGAGCAGTCCAGGTGGCCCATCACTTGGTAGCCTTTCCCTGGTTGTAGTAACTCTGTGTTCACTCATTTTTTGCTTCCCTTCAAAGTCTCTTTAGGGTGTGTCCTATTTCTTTGATCAAATCTGGAGCAGAGATTCTGCCTCTGTCTTGGACAGAGGGCTGGGCCCCCATTGGACTGTTGGCCTTTATTTGCTTTTTTCCTTTTCAGGATTTCTGTCCCCCATCTTCAGGGTATGTGTGTAAAAGGGATCAACCCTTTTTCTTGTCTGGACTGTCCCTCGCCCCCCAAAATTTAGGGCACAGCAGCCAGAGTGACCCAGGCAGGAAGCTAGCAGAGTGGTGCGTGTGGGCAGCAGCCTGTTGGATAGAGTGAGAGTGTGTGTGAGGACACAGTCAGCCCATGCCTCTCCTGGTTCCGTGAGGAGGGTCCATGGAGCTGGAGAGCCCCTGGGGCAGGAGGGCTGGAGCTTGGAGAGAGGGAGGGGCAGGTGGCTCTTACCAAGAAGCTGTTGTCCTTGGGGTTGGTGGCTAGGCTCAGGCCGAGGCGCATGTTGTCCTTCCGCTCGGACACGTTGGATAGGGTGACCCTTCCTGGGATGGGAGGGAGAAGCTCAGCCTGCAGCCCCCTGCCCACCCCCTACCCAGAGTCTGCTGCAGCCGCTGGCCACCAGAGATGCCTGTGGCAGGGGTGGTGCCAAGTGAGTCCTCCCACTTCTCTCTGCACGTTGGTGCAGACCGTCCCGGTTTCCTAAGGCCTTGCTCAGACATGGCCTAATCATTTTCTCTCAACTCCCTGTGAGATGAGGAAAATGAGTCTCAGAGAGGCCAAGCAACCTGCCCAAAGTCACACAGGAAGCACATGGCAGAGCCTTCAATCTCCTAGTCCAGAGCTTTCCCTCCTCCAGCCCTTCGATGGACCCCAACCTTGCCCTTGTGTCCCCTCTGACACATACCAGGGCACCCCACCTGGCTTCCTCTGGGCAGTGTCTCCTCCATATGTTTCTTCAAGCCCCCTGCACTGAAACTTACCCGCCCCTTCCCTGCTCTCTCAGGGCCGGCTCGCCTGATTCACTGATGATGATAACGGATCATTTCTCAGTAGCAAATAGCCAGCTAACAAGAGGCTTCTAGAGGTACAAGGTCTTGCCAAGAATGTCAAAGAGCAGGATTATCCTTCAAATGGATGTAGGGAGGAGGTGGTGGCAGATTAGAATCCTATATAGTAAAAGGCTAATATGCAAATTGACCGAACGGCAGAATGACCGGTCACTATGATGCGCACTGACCACCAGGGGCAGACACTCAATGAGGAGCTGCCCCCTGGTGGTCAGTGTGCTCCCACAGGGGGAATGCGGCTCAGCCAGAAGCCGGGGTCATGGCTGGTGAACACAGCGGTGGTGGCGGGAGCCTCTCCCACCTCCAAGGCAGTGCTAAGGACCCTTGGGGGATGTCCGACTGCCGGCTTAGGCCCACTCCCTGCAGTTGGACATCCCCCGAGGGGTCCTGGACTGCAAGAGGGTGCAGGCTTGGCTGAGGGAACCCCCCTGATCCCCCAGTGTATGAATGTCGTGCACCGGGCCTCTAGTTACTAAATAAATTATGTCAGTTAAGGTTTTACTAGATCATTCTGTCAGGCCACTGAAGGAAAAGGAAGTGAGCTTGAGTTCCCCAGACATGTGTTGGTACGTGATTAAACGCGCGTGCGTGCGCGCTCGTATGTGTGTGTGTACGCATGTGAGTGTGCACATGTGAGTGCACATATGGGTATGGGCACTTGGAGAGAGGGTTTGGGGGAAGCAAGTCAGGCATTTCGTTGAGCCCTGAGCCTCCTGCTGTGAGGAGGATCTAGTGTCCTTCCTGTTAGGTGGAGGCGGCAGAGTGGGGGGGAAGAGCGGGGGCGGTGATTTCTAGGGGCTCCAGGCCTCAGGAGCATGGTTTGCATTTAGCATTGTTGGCACTGGAGGTATGGAGAGCTGGCCCGCCTTCTGGGCACAGGCCCGGGGAACGGGGACCGGGGGTGGGCATTCACAGAGATGAGCAGAGGCCAGGCCTACAGCCGCCTGACTGCACCGTGGCTGGGGGTGGGCAGCTGTGTTTGTTGTTGTTTCCCTTTGGGCTCCCTCAGCTGGTAGTCAGGCTCCTTTTGAAATCCAGCCCCTCTTGGCTGTGCTGTGCCTGGGATTGCTTTCTGTTTTATCTATCCAAAGACACCAGAGAGAAAATAATAGTCATAACTGTGCTTTTAAAAAACCGTCTCTTCTCATTTACAAAGCACCATCCACACGTGCCCTCTCCGGACCCCCTCTTGGTCCCGGGAGGCCCAGAAGTTACCATTCCCATTTTACAGATGAAAAAACATCAAGATGCATAAAGGGTAAGTGACTTCTACAAAGGCAATTGCTGGTGAATGATAGCGTGGGGGCTTGAACCCAGAATATTCAAGGTTCCATCCTGAGCTTCCCATCTGTTGGCAGGGCTGTGCTGGCCCTGGGATGGCAGTGAGGAATCTGAAGAGGAAAGCTCTTAGCCCCAACTGGGCAACACCCCCTCAAGCGGCTGGACGAATTCTCCCTCATTTTACTTAAGGGGCATGTTTTTCCTCCAGCCGCCCCCCCCCCCCCCCCCCGGCCCCCCTTCTCCTCCCCCGCACTTCTCCTGAGTCTCAGTAACTGGAGTCCTCAGTGAAGCTGCGCCTGCCCGGGGGCAGATGGGCCTGGTAGGGAAGACAGTAGTATTGGAGGAAGAAAGACTCAGGCTCAAGTCCTGCTTCTGCTGCTTCTGCTGCCTGTGGATTTGGGGCAGCCACTACCTCCGCTCTGTGACCAGGAGACACCAGTGCCTTCCTCAGTGGGTCTCTGTAAGGGTCTGGAACATAAGCCTCTCCTCACACAGGGCCTGCCTTCCAGAACCCCAGCTCCTCATTGAAACCCCTAACTTCGCCCGGCCGGCTGAGCGCCGACCTAAGAACCAGGAGGTCACGGTTAGATCCTTGGTCAGGGCACATGCCCGGGTTATGGGCTCGATCCCCAGTGTGGGTCGTGCAGGAGGCAGCCGATCTATGATTCTCCCTCCTCATTGATGTTTCTATCTCTCTCCCTTTCCTTTCCTCTCTGAAATCAATAATAAAAATATATTTTAAAAAACCACAAAAAACAAAAAAATCCCCCTAAGGTCATCCAGGAGTTGGGAAGAAAGCGCTGGCTGTGGTCTTTCACACTGAGGTGTGAGTGACTGCCCGGCACTCGGCCTTCCGGGAGAGAGGAAGGCACATTCCTGGCTTGGCAGGGCTCAGAGCCTGGAAAGGCCCTGGGAAAACCCAGGACTCAGGTTTCCCCGCCTTGCATTTTCCACTGCGGGGAGAAGCTGACAGATGGCCTTCCTGCTGTGCGTGTTCTCCTCCGTGGAGGGAAAGAACACTCCTGCCCTGGCTCGCTTTGCTGCCCAGCTCTGTCCCGGTTCAGGAATGTGTTCAGGTTCCAGTGGTTTCTCACTGCTGGCGGGGGCTCCTCCTCTGCAGGGAAATTGGGTCCACATGGGAAACCAGAGCAACAGCGGAAACTAACCGATCGGTTCACGCATCTCTGTCCCCACCTGGGCCAGGAGCTGCTCTCGGAGGCCTCGGTGGCCCAGCCCCGACCCCAGTGCCTGTGCCTCCCATCAGCCCTCTTGCTCCCTCTGCCCAGGCACAGAGCCATTCTGTCCAACAGAGGGAGCTTACTCCCACCCCAGCGCCTTGCACTTGTCTTCCTCTGGCTGGGAGGCTCTGGTCCCATTTCACTCCTTTTCACCACCAGACCTTTGTTCAGATGCTCTCGGCTGAGAGAGGCCGTCCTGCTGAGAGAGGCCATCCTGCTCAGAGGCCGTCCTGCTCAGAGGCCGTCCTGCTCAGAGACCGTCCTGCTCAGAGAGGCCGTCCTGACCACCTTGCTAAGGAACAGCCCTCTCTCCCTACCTCCTCCCCACTCACCCTGGTTTATCACACACAGCCTTTCTCTCTACCTGGGCTGACTGACCTTCATCCTAGTTTGTCTACTTACTTATTGTCTCCTCCAGCGGGGCCCTTGGAGTCTTGTTTTCTGCGGTGTCCTCAGTAACTAGCATTGTGCTTAGCACATACTAGGTGTTCATTAAAGTTTGGGGGACATATTAGACCGGAATGGATCCTAGGATCATCGAGTCCACCCTCCTCATTTTACACACAAGCGAGCAGAGGCTCAGGGAGGGGCTGTGAAGAAACTGCCCAGCTGGGAGGGGACACCCAGCGTGGCCTGCTTTGGAAGCTGCGCTCTCCGAGTGGCGATGGCCGGGATCCCTGAGCTACCAGCCAGCCCCCACCCCCCTAGTCTGTTTCCTCCTGAAGCCTGGGCCTCGCTGTCCCGGGGTTTGAACTCCCCACCCGTGGTGCTGACGCAGATAGGAGCAGCAGGAGTGTGCAGCCCCGCGGGCCGCCACTGAGATCGAGTTCTTGGGGCTTTCTCTTTGATGCGGGCCTTTTCATCCATCTGCTTACGCCTTGGAGCTCTGCCATCCCCCACCTCCCCACAGAGCCCACCCCACTGCTCTAGGGTGCAGGCCCCCCTTCTGGAGGAGGGGGAGGCGCAGGGTCCTGGCCCTGGGCAGCCAGTCCTCTAGGGCAAGGCCTGGAACCGGGGCTTCTCAGCCCACATGGAACTTTTACTCCCTTCCGTAAGCAAGTGGAGTAAGTGGTGGCCTGGCCACTGTCTGACCTTTAGGACAAAGCGGAAGTGCTTTAGAGGACTGGTGTGTGTACTTTAGGGCATGCCTCCCTCACCCCCCCAACACCCCAACCCCTAGATTTTACAAGGGCTGGGAAGGCCTGGAGGCTGCTCCTAGCACCCGCCTATGGCTGAAAGCTCTTCAGAGGAACAAAGCCTTCATTTCAGAAGGGCGGTGTGAGGTAGTGGCAGTAGACTGCCTGGCTTGAAATCCAAGCCTTGCTGCTGGTTAGCTGGGGGACCCCGAGCAGGTCCCCTCACCTCCACATGCAGTCATTTCCTCCTTTGTTTAATAGTTAAATTTTATAGGGGATTAAATGAGTCAAAACATCTAAAAGTGCTGAAACCAGTGCCCGGTGAGGCGTGAACATCATCTAAGATGTATGAGTGTGAGCTGTGGCTGTTAGCGCTCCCAAAGCAGAAAGGAGACAGGAGGCGTTTTTCTCCTGCTGGGAAGGGGCAGTGGGTGAATCAGAAGGAGCAGTGCCCTGGGACACTGGAGGCCTAGGTTCGATTCCCGGCCAGCCTCGAACAAGCTGTGTGACTGTGGGAAGTGGCTTCCTCTCTCTGGCCTCCGCATCCTCATCTTTAAAACGGGGGCAGTGAACCAGCTGGGAGGAGCCCGTGTGAGTCTGTGTTTTACGCCTGTCCCCCCCTACACAGTGGTTGGCCTCGCTGTGGCGAGACCAGAGCCCCTAGTTACCCAGGTTGAGCTTCGTGCAGTTCCCGTGGGTCACCGGACACTTGTACACGTCTCCCGTCTTCTGGTGGCCATTGGTTTCCAACGGAGCACCCACGACGAGCCTGGGAAGGAAGAGAAGACACGTGAAGATGCTGGGGGAGGTCCTCCTTCCTGGTAAAGGCTGGAACCTGGGGGCAGTGATGAGGGGAAGGTGAGGTGTGTGTGGGGGACACCCTGGGGGAGCGGCCACATGCTGACCTGCAGACTGAGACCTTTGCCTCTCTGGGGGAGGGATGCAGGGCTTTCACTGTAAAGTCTTGGGGCCTGTGGCCCACTCCAGGCCCTTGCCAGGATGTGGAGATACGGAGATGAGGACCCCATGGGTGCAGCAACAAATGGGATGGAGGCAGTCCCTGGAGAAGGGCAGGGCGGACATCATGGAGGAGGTGATGCTTGAGTTGGGCCTTAACGGTTGAATATGAGCTTTTCAAATGCTAGGAGAGTGGTAATGGTGGTCCTTCAGGCAGAGGAATGATTTGGAGCCATGGGGCCTTTGTTCTCACCTTACCTGACAGTCTTTCAGCCAGTGACTCAGATGAGGGGCATGTTGCTCAATGGTCATGACTGTCCCCTGAGCCGCTAAGTCTTTGCTCAGGGTGGGCCAGGCAGCCAGCAGGGCTCAACAGTGCCCAGGGACAGCCAACCATCCGGGGCTTCTGCCTTGAGTCTGTGCTGTTGTGAGCTTATTTGGAAACAGGGTCTTTGCTGTTGTAATTAAGGATCTCAAGATGAGGTCATCCTGGATTACTAACCCTTGCAGGGAACCCACGTTAGAGGTTTAATATGGCTCCTGCAGTAAAGGCGTCTGGGATATGTTGAACTCTCTGTGTTAAACCTTCTGTGACTGTTTAACTCTGTAGCCTGAGGCTCAGCTGACTACCCAGAAAGCCGGAATGCAGCCCGAAGATAAACGCCAGGCCCCTGGAAGGAGGTTAATGAACGTATGGAGTGCGGATACCTGCCTGATGTTGTCTGTTAACTTAGAAACGCAGTATTCTTTCTGGTGGTCTATGTGACCGCCCCCCATATGCTTTTACTACTAACACCCTATAAAAAAGAGACCCTGTCCGGGGAGGGGGGTGGGTTTTCCCCCGGCCGGCCACCCCTGGGAGCGCAGCTGCTTTGCCCATGTAGGTAAGTTTCTCCTATTAAAGCTCTTATGCGTTTGACTAAGGCTACGTGTCAGTTCTTCGGAATCGATCCTGAATTAATTTAGACTTTGGGGGCTTTCCCCCAACAGCCCTAAACCCAGCAAGTGTCCTTATAAGAGACACACGAAGGAGAGACTGAGAAGAGACAGCCACGTGAAGACGGGAGCAGAGCTGAGAGGAGTGCTGCCACAAGCCAAAGAATGCCTGGGGCCCCCCGGAAGCTGGAAGAGGCAAAGAGGGGTTCTCTTCCAGAACCTTCCGCGGAAGCACAGCCCTGCCGACACCTTGTTTTGGGTGTGTGGCCTCCAGAACTGTGAGAGAATACAGTTCTGTTTTTGTAAGCCGTCTACTCGGTGCTGATTTGTCCTGCACCCACTGGAAGTTAATACACCTTGCTCACATGCTCTAGAAAGCAATGGGTGGCACTCCTTCCTGGCTTGCCTAGACCTGGTAGTGCACCTCCCTTGAGGCCAGGGAGAATCCACTCCCGCTATGCCTTCCCCAAGCCCCTCCTATGCTGCCCTCCCCCCCCCCAGCTGGAAACCCCAGTGCTGATATAAAGCGAAACCCTGAGGGCAGGCGGGGTGTCCCTTCAGTGACGCCTGCCACCTTGTCAGCGCCGCCTTGCCTCTGGCACATCTGGAACCCTCTAGGCTTTGGGTGCCTGACCAGCTCTCAGCCAGCAGCGGCCTCCTCTGCTCAGGCCCTCGTGATAACAGCGACTCAAGAATGGAACCCTCCCAGGAGGCCGCGCTGGCAGGGCAGGGGTGCCGCCCAGGCCCTGTGGGACAGAGCTTAGATGAGCATGAGGTTTGGGCACAGGTACGGGTGAGACACTGGGAGCAAGATCACCTTTCTGGAGCCCTGTCCCCCCAGCAGCGGCCCACCCCCTGGCAACTCGGCCCAAAGAAGAAGCAGTCAGTTATTTTCTGACCTAAGAGGGTTGAGAGGGGACAGGCCGGGAGGTTCCGGCTCTACAGGACTTTGGTGTCTTCTGGTGGTCACACTGCCCCGGCCCGCCTCCCCCCTCCCCGCCTCTCTGTGCTGTCAGGAAAGAAAGTGAGGTCTGAAGTGGGAGTTAATAGAGCTCTGTTAGAAATTAAGAGTCTATGAAATAAGAGCTGAGGTTTCTCCCCTGGGGACCAGATAATGACGGATTCTAAATATATCACTTATTAAGCATGCCCATTTTGGACTGGCAGGAATTAATAGGGCTCATAAAATCTGTTTGTCTAGACAATGTGATTTTTGGCTACGAGAGAGAGAGAGAGAGAGAGAGAGAGAGAGAGAGAGAGAGAGAGAGATGTCAGTGTGCGTGGCTTAGGCGCCAAGCTTGCTTTGCTGGCTGCTCTGGTGTTCAAGGTCAACCTGATAGTTCAGCAAGTCTTCCAGAGGAATGTGCCCTCCAGCACACCCTGCCCTAGGGGAGTGCTGTCTGGAAGGAGTGCCTTCGAGGAACAGCTTGCAGGGTGCCCCTGGGGGGATCAGGCACAGCAGGTTCTGGATGAGGAAACCATGGCCATCTCCCAGAAAATCTACCTCGTGTCTTAGAAAACACCCCGGCAGCCTGACCAGGCAGACTCCCCACATTTCTTCCCATTTTACAGATCAGGACCCTAGGCCCCTTGGCCGGCTCAGAGGGACCCCAACACAGGGTGAGGTCTTTGGGCTGAGAATCCAGAGGCTGGGTCTTCATCCTGATTCGGTCACCTGCTTGCCCTGTGGCCTTGAGAAGTCATTGACCTTTCCAGACCTTGGTGTTCTTGGCTGAGAAATGGGGTTAGCAATTCCTGCACTGCCTACCTCTCAGGGGCACCGTGGAAAGTCACCGATGTCAAAGGACACCAAGAAACAGAAGGGGTTGAATCAATGTGAACTCTGCACAAAGACTGCTGGCTTCCCAGAGCCGTGTGTCCTGGTAATGGTCAACATGCGACATGCAGGCAGTAAATCTGCCAAGTCTCAGTGACCCTGAATTTGCTACAAGACAAAGAACAGGAGCCAGCCCTTACCTCCATCTCCATTCCCCCAGAGCTGATCTCTCTGGTGTCCGTGGCACTACATGAGGTGGCAGAACAGAGCTTACTATCCCCATATTACAGATGCAGACACTGAGGCCCCAGGAAGGGAGCTGACCAGGCCCCACAGTTTGTGGCAGAGAGCTCTCCTGAGACAGCTTTCCCATTGTTGCCCCAAAATCTCTTCGCCCTGAAGGAAGGGCCTGGGTCAGCCCTCCTTGCCACTCTTGAGTGTCGGCATTACGTGCGCCTGTCGGGCTTGAGGTTTTGAGGATATGATTCAGTCTCACTGCAAGGGGAGAACTGCACTAAGCACAGGGAAAATGTTTGCGTCACCACGAGACCC